GCCGCCGGTCCCTCTCGGGGCCAGGCGATGGGCACGCCACAGGCACGGTACAGTTGCGGCATCGGCTGGTGGTGTTGGAGGGATTGTCCTGCAGAGCGCCTTGGGAAGGACAGCAGCCTTCCCTGGGTCGTCATCCTCGTTAGCTTAGGGTGCTAATCGTGTGGCTATGAGGTCTGCTCTGGATGTGCAGCCTAGAGCTCCGCAGCGTGAGCCCTGCTCGGTGCTCGCGCGACGACGCCGTGGCTGGTGGAGCCGGGGCAGGAGCTGCTCCCTGGGACCTGACCCCAGCGCTCAGGCAGCCGGCGCCCGGGGAGGGGCGCGTGGCACCGAGCTTCCCACCGGGCTGGCCGGGTGGACATCTGCCGGCGCTGCCTGCGCTAGCGAGTTTGCTTTCTAACGCGTTGTCTTCCCTGCAGTTGTCCTGCTGGACTCGAAGGAATCGCAAGCGGAGCTGGGCTGGACCTCACACCCGTCAAATGGGGTAAGTGCGGAGGTGGGACCGTCCCCCGGCGCTGCTGGAGAGGGCCGGCCTGCCTTCCGGCGTCCGCACGTGGAGCTGGTGGAGGGGGCTGGCAGCCACAGGGTCTCCCTGCGCTGCAGCGGGGGGGGCAGCTCGGCACGAGCTGTCGCGTTGATCGGTGCTGGGCACCCCGGGGAGCAGAGCGAGACGCGCAGGATCGGCGGTGTGAGTGGTGCGAGCGGCGCCGTCGGGAGCGCTGCGTCGCGCAGGGTTTGCTTGACCAGGTCCTTGCTCCGCTGCCAGGGTCGGTCTGTAGCCGCTCTCAGGAGAGCGTGTCAGGAAGCTCAGAGTGGCGTTCCTTGCTGCTTTGGGTTCATTTTCTGGAATGGAAACAGCCGCTCAGAGGGAGCAGTGGTAGATCCCGGAGTCATCTGCATTGCCCAGCTGTTAGCCTGCGGAAGGAACTCTGCTTTGGGTGCGTGTGGCAATCTTGCATAAATTGATCCCCAGAAATGATTGCGTTGGGAAGTTGCCAGGTCATCCTTAGGGCTGTGAGGGCTGCATCACCGCCTCGCTCATCGCAGTCTCTGCCGGTAACGTTGGGGAATACCGTTTGGCTTGCGGTCGGAGGATTTGTCCTCTTCTGGCTAAAACTTTTCCTGACGGAGAAGGTGCTGCTTGCTGTTTACGGAGATGTTTGTCCTCGTGCGGCGGTGTGACCGGCAGTGCATCTCCCTGGCCATCCCTGACCTCTGTGGGTCGCCCAGCCCCCTCGGGCGTTCCGCTGCGTGGTGACGCCGTGCGGGTGCCCCTTCCCAGGGACAGAAAACCCCAGGCGCATGTGGGAGAGCCAGGCGCGGGCTTCTCCGCCGATGATGAGTCCAGGGTCGCGTCAGGCTTCGTGTTAGAGGCTCCGATGCCAGCACCCCCCGTCTGGTTGTGTCTCCGTGTTTGCGCCTCTGCCGAGTGCTCCAAGCGCTTACTGCAGCGCGCGGATCTGGGGGGCTCAGGACTCGTAGTGCCTGTGACCCACCGGTCTGTAGGTGGAGAGGCTGTGGCGGTGATATTTATCCCGATCGGTGTGTTCCTGCCGGGGCGGCTGGTTCTCGCTCACGGCAGCTCCCGAGCTGTTACAGCCCTTTGTGTTCTTTCCCCAGTGGGAAGAAATCAGCGGTGTGGATGAGAATTACAAGCCGATACGCACGTACCAGGTCTGCAACGTCATGGAGCCGAACCAGAACAACTGGCTGCAGACGGGCTGGATTGCCAGGCGTGATGGCCAGAGGATCTTCATCGAGCTGAAGTTCACCCTGCGGGACTGCAACAGCATCCCTGGGGTGATGGGCACCTGCAAGGAGACTTTCAATCTGTACTACGTCGAGTCTGACTCCGACCTGGGCCGTAGCGTCCATGAGAACAAGCACACCAAGATCGACACCATTGCTGCTGACGAGAGCTTCACGCAGGGGGACCTGGGTGAGCGTAAGATGAAGCTGAACACCGAGCTGAGGGAGATTGGGCACCTGAGCAAGAGAGGCTTCCACCTGGGCTTCCAGGACGTGGGCGCCTGCGTGGCGCTGGTCTCTGTGCGGGTCTACTACAAGAAGTGCCTCGCCACCGTGCAGAACCTGGCCGTGTTTCCGGACACGGTGGCAGAGACAGCCTTCGCGACTTTGGTGGAAGTTAAGGGCGCTTGTGTTGCTCACGCCGAGGTGGATGTGGATAATCCCCCCCGGATGCACTGCAGCGCGGAGGGCGAGTGGCTGGTCCCCATAGGGAAGTGCACGTGTGGCCCCGGCTTCGAGGAGAAGGACGGGGGATGCAGAGGTAAAAGTGGCCGTGGGTGTCCCCTGGCAGTCGTCGTCTGCGTCGGTCAGCGTTGCTGCCAGAGCGCTCTGGCGGTGCCCGCGCACGGCTCGGACAAGGGGAATTGCCTTTTGTCAGCAATGTGATTCTTTCAGTTGATTGCAGCTCCCCAGCAAACAGCCAGGCCTTAATTTGAGGGGTGGCGATGGGGTAAATGGGGCGCGCTGCCGGTAGCTGCTCCGCAGCACGGTGTTGGCTGGGCAGAGGTGCCAAAGCTCTGAATACTGTCGGGCATTTCCCACAGCTCTATCTGTAACTGTAAAATTACTCTAGGACATTAATGTCCCCGTCGTCATGCTTTAGACAGCTTAAGAATTCGGTGACTGACAGCTCGCACGGTTGTGTTTAATGACAGCCATAGAACTGGGTGTAGCCTTTACCTTAACGGGTGTCCCTAACGAACCGGTGCTGCGACCACTTCGATCTCGTGTTCAGAGGCAGGCGAGAGCCAGGCGTGGGATCAGCCCTGAGAGCGTGGGATGCTCCCCGACTCGGGGCGTGCGAGAGCCTCCTAGCTCTCATGGGAGCGCTGATGCCCCCTCCCAGGCACCTCCCTGCTTTGGGCCGAGGTCAGGACCTAGTCCCAGCTCAGCCTGGCCTCAGCTCCCCCGTGCCGGTCAGGCGCCAGCACCAGCCGCCAGCAGTGCCCGGCGAGCGGAGGCTGCTCTGAGCAAAGCGCGGGCGGCGAGCGTGCACCTCCCTCCCCAGCAGCGCCTGTTCCTCCGTCCGTCAGCACCCGGGGACTTTCTTCTCCAAAAGGTGTTGTTGGTTATCGGTTATGAACTGGTGGGAGGCGCGGTCAGGCCACCGGCTGGGACCACGAGAGGAGGGGTGTTCCCCAGCAGGAGACACCCGAAAACACCCCGCGCCGCCCGTGCCGGGCGTCCAGGCGGTGCCTCGGGCCCCTGCCTTCTCCCCTGGTAGAAGATGGGTTGGGAGGAAACCGGCTGCGCAAGTGCCCGATGGGTGCAGTTCCCCCGTGTTTGGGTACGGTGCGGGGAGGGAGGGAGCTTTTCCCCAGGGATCCGGTCTGTCCTTCGGGAGAAGACCTTATTAAAACTTCCGAAATCTCAGCGCTGTTCATTGCTTCGGTGGCTGCGTGGCAGCTCGCCATGCTCTCCCCATCTGTTTGGAGTGGGGATTTACACAGCGAGTCCCAGAAGGCTTCCGCTAATGTTTCAGGTTTCTCTGTGTTGAGTTTAAATAATTCATATTCTCTAAGGAAAAATATTTGAAGTAATTTAATGGACATAATTAAGTTTTCCCCCCCCTCTCACAGAAAGCGGGTCATTAGTCACTCTCTGTGGAGCAGCCTCTGATGTCTGGTCAAATATCATAAAATAGTTTTTAAGGGTTTAAAGTTTTTCTTTTTTTTTTTTTTTTTTTTTTTTTTTTTTTTTTTTTTTTTTGAGCCCTGCGTTAGCATAGCACGAAGTGAGTAACTTTAAAAGATTTCTGATGAAAGCATCCGGGGCTGCAGAAATTCTTCAACAAGGACAAAAGCCCTTGAGCTGGAGGCGGGCAGAGACGCTGGGAGTTCGGGGATGTTAAAGCAGCCGGGCGGTGGCACAGCCAACCTGGCTCCACCGCCGTGGTCCCGTGGCGGTGCCTTTGGAGGGCTCGGCCGGTGCGAGTCTGCCGGATCCTCCTTGCCCGCAAAACTTCTCGGCCGCAGTCTCTGTCACGGCTCTTGTGGCCGGGAGAGGTTGGACCCTGGGGATGTTCGAGGACCGCTTTGGGGAGCAGGGACAGCCCGGGGGCTGACCCCCCATCCCGTGCCGGGGCGGCTGGTGGTTCTCCAGGCTGTCATGGGTGCCGCTTCACAGCTCCTGGCTCTCCCTTATCCTTTGATCTTCTCCGAGGCCTCTCTGGCTGTGCCTGCAGCGTGGGACGTGCTGGTGTCCCAAATCGGTCACCCCTTCGCCCCGCCGACCGCTGGGGTGGCTGCATATCCAGTGACCCCGCGGGGCCTGCCCCTCGGCCGGACCCGGGATGGATCCAGGGTGGTGCTTAGGGCCAAGCGCGTGGCACAGCTTCTTGGGTCTAAATCAACAGGAAATCGGATGGCGGAAGCCGGGGTGCACGATGGTGTCCTCTGTGGGGA